AATGTAACTTGGATGCCTATTTATATTTAAGAATGGGGACTACAAAGACAATTAGAAGAAGTACAGCCAGAATGCTCCGTGGAGGTCAGGATGGTTAGACTTTATCTCTCATACTCCAGTCCCTGGAGAAGGATATCAGGTTTGGTAAAGTGGAGGGTCTGAGAAAAAACAGGAAGACCCTCCAAAGAGATGGACTGGCACAGTGCTGGCAGCGATGGTCTCAGGAGTAGCAACGATTGTGAGGTTGGTGCAGGACTGGGCAGTGTTTCGTTCTGTTGTGCAGAGGATTGCTATGAGTTGGTACCAACTCCATGTCACCTAACAGGAAGTATAAAACCGTGAGTGTGGGCTCTGGAACTCAGTGGAGGTAATCTGGATGGGTCATTTCAAAGTCTTCCCTCTGGAGGGCTTCCGAGGCCTCTTCCTGTCCTTACACGGGGAAGGCCTGGCCACCAATGTCCTGAGACTTGACTTGAGCCAGTGTTGTGACCTCAGCCTCTCATGTGTTGTTGTTAAGTGCTACGGAGTTGGTTGTGACCCACAGTGACCCTGTATAGGGTGTCCAAGGAGCGGATGGTGAGTTTGAAATGTACCTGCCCACAAATCCCATCCACTGGCCAGGGGTCCCCAGGCCAGAGACCCCGAGTTTCACCTCTCCAGTAAATCTCTGGTCTTCACCTGTGTGCAGAAGGAAAGGACGACACTCTGCTTTCTTTAGCCAGCCCCCTTCCCCTCTCTGCAGGGCGCTGGCTGCTTTCAACCCCAGAGGTTTGGGGGATTCTGTGGGTTAAGTCAGGTTGGTTTCAGCCTTTTCAGGTTTGCTATTACGGTGTGGTGCTGTGGGTTAATGCGCCAGACTGCAAAGCTGGTTTGAACTGCAAGGTTGGTGGTTCAAGCTCACCAGCTGCTCCTCAGAAACCCTATACAGAGTCACTGTGGGTCAGAAATGACTCGACAGCACTGAATAACAACTATGGGGGTTACTCCCAGACCGGACCATCTGTTTTCTAATCTCCCTAGTTGCTGTCTGTCCTCTTCTTACCCTCCTTTGCAATCCATGCTCTGAAAGAATCCCTTTGCTGTGTCGTCTGGGAAGGAGTGGGGGAAGATGGTTGTTGAGGCAGCATGCTCTTCAAAGTCCACAAGAGCCTGGTCCCAGCAGCACCTGACAGGTATGGCATCCAGAACTACCTGACTCTGCTCCTGCATGCTCCTCCCATAAGCCACGCCCTTCTGACACCTGCTCCTCTCCAGACACGTATGCTCTGGACCCCCTCCTTGTCCTGTTCCCCATTACCTGAATGCCTCCCCTGCCCACGGACCTCCCCATCTGCCTTCTCCCCTCAGGAATGCTGCTGCTCTCCTGTGTCTCCCCTAGAGATGGCCGCTTTCCTATTGCCTCCTTCTTGCTCCCTGCTCCTGAGCCCCTTCTCCTTTCTCTTCCTAAGCCCTGCTCCATGCTCTAGTCTGCGGTGGGATTCCATAGTTCCCTCATGCTCTAGCCTGTGGTGGGATTCCATAGTTCTCTCAGTTTTTCCCTCCACTGAAGCTACAACCCCCCCCCCCCCCCAAGTTTCCACTCTCCGTGGGCTCCCCTCCGGCCACAGCCTGTGCCTTTGTCTGGATTTGCCCTTTCCAGCCTTCCTGATCTTTCCTAGATTACCACGGGGCCCCTCCTAAATGGCCTGCCCTTGGGTCACTACTGTGGCACCTGGGACTGTCTCCCCACTCAGTTTTCTCTTCTGCGTCACGGTTGTTGTTTTCTAAACCACTGAGTGGAAATGAAATGAAATGTGAGACACAGAATATCATTAGTTTTATTATAAAAGGCAGCCATGGAGATTATTAACATGATGAAGATTTCAGAATGCCAATGGACTGGGCAGCCTCACACCATGCTGTTTTGAGACTGATTTCAGTCTACATTCTGCCCAACAACGTCACCACCATCTCTAAATAACAAAAAATCTTTGTCTGAATTACTTTGGTGCCTCCGTATTCTGGGAGAAGAACTTTATCTCTGACTTTCACACTCACTGGTTGAATCCCTCCACCCTTCCCTCTAGATCTGTATCCAACAGCTACAGAGCATTTCTTTGAGAACTTTCCAGAAGCCTAATGCCTCCTGCCCACCAACACTCTAAAAGAGGGGAAGAAACTTTCTAAATGCCTGTCCTGTCAGGGTTCCCGTGTCACATCACAGTAACTTGTACAATGGAGAGGAACCAGTGCCTCGTAGAGCTCCTTGCTGGTTAATAAATGGAGGGGACAAAGGTCAGGCCACGCCACAGCCCTCATTAAAGCCCTCAGGGACTCTGCATGGTCAGGGTATGACGTGTGCTCACTCCCAGCCCAGGCCCAGGAGTCCCCGGGAGGCCTGCCTGTCCTCTCTGGGTGACCCTAGGCTTTCACAGCCCTTGTCTACTTGAAGCGCCTCACGTCTCAGTCTCTGAGAGATGGGCACCTCGGCTGTGCCAGCCTCTGGGGGATCCAGCGAGCCTTCACCTGCCCTCCACAGCTTGGTACAGTCTCCCGCCTTTGACTGTTGCTACACCTTTGGAGGTGGCACCAATTTCACCTGCCCCACATAGAAGTGATGGACATCAGTGTCCCCCTCCTCTTGATGGCCCCCAGAAAGCCCTTGAGAAATGGCAGCCTTGCCCTGAGCCCACTCAGCCTATGCTGGCAAAGGCTGCTCTGGGGCCCCGGGCGGTGAGCGAGTCCTCTTAATGTGGCTCTGTGTCTCCTCACCCCCTTCGTTCCCTTAGAGTAGGGCCACAAAGGGGATGTCTCCCTTGGGGGACCCACAGCAGTCCGTCCGTCAGTGCCTGCACATAGAGTCAATGCCTGATGGGCTGAAGGTGAGGGTCTTCATGGAGCCATGACTTTGAGTCTGTGAGGTAGTGGGATGCGGTGGAGGTTAGTCACTGAGTCCTGGTCCAGGCTGGACTGTCATGGTGTCACCTGCCCCCTTCCTGGGAGCCGTTTCTATTTGTCCAATGGTGTGGGGTGGGTATGGGGCTGCTCAGCTCCCTGTGATTCCAGATACATAACTTCCTATCTGGGGAAGCTCCAAGGCCAGCACCTGCCTTCAAATCAAGTCCAGACAGCAAAGTCCTTTCTTAGTGACCGGCCTGGTAGAGCTGGGACAGGAAGGAGGGGTGCCTGCCTAGGCCCACGCTCCGTGAAGGGCACCATGCCATGGGGGCTCTGCTCTGCCCTTGAGAAGAGAGGGGCTGAGAGGACAGGGTCATCTGTCCTCTAGGCCAGGAAGCACCCAGAGCCTTGTCCCTGGTGCTGATCTGAAGACACCACCAGACCCACCCATTTTGCTGGGATCCACCATCAACACTCAAGGAAGCAGAAGTCAAAAAATCAAATAACATTTTGTACTAGGCAAATCTGCCCCACAAGACCTCTTCAAAGTGTTTAAGAACAAAGATGTCAATTTGAGGACTGAGGTGCGCCTGACCCAAGCCGTGATATTTTCAATAACCTCATATTCATGTGTAAGTCGGACAGTGAATAGACCATAGAAGAACTGATGCATTTGAGTTATGGTATTGGAGAATATTGAAAGTACCATGGACTGCCAAAAGAACCAACATCGGGGTTAGTAGTAGTACAGCCAGAATGCGCCTTAGACACCAGGATGGTGAGGCTTCACCTCTCACACTCTGGACGTATTACCAGGAGGGACTGGTCCCTGGAGAAGGGCATCATGCTTGGTAAAGTGAAAGGTCAGTGAAAAGGGAAGATCCCCATGAGACGGAGTGGCACAGTGGCAGCAGCAATGGGCTCAAGCTTAACAGCTATGAGGATGTGCAGGACTGGGCAAGGTTTCAGTCTGTTGTGCACAAGGTTGTTATTAGTCAGAGCCAACTTGAAGGCACCCAACAAAACATAGGACCCACCCTTCCTGGTACTTGGTGCCAGAAGGCTCCAGGGGAAGGGGCAGAGAGGGGACTTCGCCTCTGGGCACCTTGGGAGCAGCAGAATGGGCAGGATAAACATGGTCAGGATAAACTGAGGGCAGAAATCAGGATGTCTTTGCTGGGAAAAAGGACCTCGGCCTGTCTCCCTCCTGGCCCCGGCCTAGTTGGGACAATGGACTGTGTTGCTGTGGTCACTCCTTATAAAGGTCCAGTGTTGGCTTCTTCTTTGAGGAAAACCCACTGAAATGGGAGAGACTGAATACTGACAACAGGGAGCAGTGAGGCCGATGGGTCCTTGGTCACAGAAGCTTGTGTCTGAACTCCTGCCGCTCAGAGAAGCCAGGCTAGGCCACCTGACGCCAAGTTCCCCTCGGTGGCCAGGTTGAGCACGGTCCCTGCTCTGGCAGGGCCTGGCCTGGTGTGTCCCAGGGCAGGGATTGGGATTGGAAGTGTGAGGTGCCACTGGGAGACACTCAACATGGGCAGGGCTGGAGCCACGTCCACAGTGAGGAGCACAGGCTGGTGTGTGTGTGTGTGTGTGGGGTCTCAGGAGCCACGTGGAGCCAGCAGGCAGAGAGGAAGCGGTGGGGGTGAGATGCCCCGGCCCCAGCTCTAGGTGATGGGTGAGCTGCCATCGTGCATACTAATTACATTTTTAATCAGCCAGAACGAGGCGCTGTCATCAGTTTGCTTTGAGGATGGCTCTGAATCACCGTGGAGCTGACAGACTGGGGCGGGCCGGTGACCCTGGGGGCAGCCAGTGGGCGGGAGCCCCTACCCTGTGTGCAGAGGGCCCATGGGCTGGCCTCCTGGAGGTGCCCCCAAACAGCACTTGACACTTGATTTTATTCCATGATGCTGATCTGGGCGGGGATGGGGCAGGCCCCGGAGCGGCGCGTCCCACTCCCTGCCAGTTCCTTTAAAAACTGAGCTGCAAAAATAAAATCAAATGACAGAAATAAAAATAAAAACAAAACCCTGAGCTGTTAAAAACCAAACAAATTAAAAATCCCCTTTGGTGTCTTGGTAAAAGCCAGTGGGTGGACGGGTGGGCGGCCAGTGGGCTCAGTCCTGCTTGTCCTCCGTGTCGGACCCCTCCTCTTGCTCGGGGCCCAGGCCGCCCCCCTGGCTGTCTGGATGCTTCAGGATGGCGCTGTACTTGAGGGTGGTGGTCTCGGCCTGCAGTACCACCTCCACCAGGCTGAAGATGGTGATGACCTGTGCAGAGCAGGGCCCAGTGAGAGGACTCAGGGGACAGGGCATTGGGGGTGGTGGTGCAGGGACTGTTCCCGGAGTGCAGGTGTGCCGTGGGGACAGTCATCAGGCCCGATCAGCCTCAGTCCCCTGGGGGACATGCAGGCCAGGCCATTGGTGTGACCTGGCACCCGGGACACACACAGATGCAACAACCTGGGGCGGGCGGGCCTTGGGAGCACATTGTAGGGAAAGTAGTTAGAGACGGTTTTTCATGAATGAGGTCCCATAGCTTTCACTAGATAGTCAATAGGACTCCAAAAGTGAATTCCCCTGCTTCAGAGAGGGACAGAACCTGCCTCCTCCCACAGTAGCGTCCCCACAGGGGCCAGGAGGATGTGGTCTTGGGACTGGTTAGAGCTGCCCCCCTGCCCGCAGGTCTAACCTGGCGCACTGGCTGCTCTCCGATGTCCTGGGGCTCCCAGATGAGCGTGAGCTCTGGCTTCTTGCCCACCTTCTGGAAGTGGTGGGCCTGCAGGGGCAGGGCCTATGCAACACACATCAGTGCCTCACTGGGCTCTGGACACCGCCTCTGACCCTCCCACCCCCAAATGGCCCACCTGTGTGTGTGTGGGGGACCCTGCTGTTTGACCTTGGACACGCCCCAACCCCACTGCTACTTCCTGTCGGTGTCAACTAAGCGGCCAGAGAAGCGGGGGCAGGTCCTGAGATGACCAAGTGCTAAGGGCCTGGGAGGGGTGTTATTTGGGGGGCAGGGCTGGGGAATGGTGGTTGGCCTGGGCAGCAGGTATTGGGAATCTACCCTCAAATCTCAGGATCGTAGCTGCTAGGGAAGGGCAGGCTCTGCGAGGCTGAAGGCTGGCGCCCCCTGCTGGCCCTGGTCTGTAGGAACCACTGAGGACAAGAACCCTGAAGCATTCTGGTGTCTGGCTCTCCTACTTCCTAGTCTGATGACCACACACCGCCTGCCCAAAGTGGTCAGGATGGCTGGTGACATGCTGACCACGGCACCAACTTCCCAAGGAGGGAGCTGCTCCCAGAGCAGCCATGGACTACTAGGGTCATTCTAGAACAAACATCCCTAAAGCCTGTCTGCCTGCCATCTGCTGGGGGTTGGGGGTCCTCTCTGGCTGCCTGGTCTTTGGGGATGAGGCCCCAGCCCGATCCTGACCTTGGAGCCCCTCCTAGGTAAGCAGACTGCTTCTTGAAGGGCCTAAGGGGCGGGCTTGGTGCTGGGGGACAGGACAGGGCAGCTCCCCTCCACAGCGGCCTCTGCACATCCCCCCACCGCACACCTGGTGCTGCCCACTACTGAGTGAGGGGTGCAGTCCCACCTCACAGTTGTAAACCTCCGGCCCTAAGCCTGTGCTGGACACCCCACTCCACCCAGCTGCAGAGGAGGGCCGGGGGACATCTGAGAAGAGGGTTCTCTACAGGCACTGCCTTGGGGGGCCCAGGAGACCCCGGCAGCTGCTCACTCACGTTACAGTAGATGCGTTTCTGCACCCCGTAGCGTAGCACCAGCACGTCGAAGGCTTGGTTGAGGACGCCCATCACCATGGCTTCTGATAGCAAGGGGCCACTCTCCTGCAAGGCAGCACACAGCAGGCTCAGCCACAGACCTGGACACGGCTCTTCCCAGTCCCCCCGGCTGCCCATGGCCCTGAATTCCTGAGGGGCCATGCAGGGAGAGGCGCCCAGGAGGGTGGGTGGTGGGTGGTACACTACGAGGCGTCCAGGAGGGTGGGTGGTGGGTGGTATGCTCCAAGGTGCCCAGGAGGGTCACTGGGCCAGGCTGGGGGTGTACCTTGACCAGGACAGCGAAGAAGAGGTTGGTGCTGAGCTCCTGCACGCGCTTGGATGCTATACGGCGGTCATTGCAGTGGTCAGCCTGCTTCTGCATGGCGTCAGGCTCCAAATCTGGCAATGCCCCGTAGCCTGAGCAGAGGGGGTCAGACCCTGCTGGTCAGTGGTCTATGTGTGTGATCGTGGCTGGGTGAGGACTCTCGCGGCTCCTGGCCCAGGTGGCACCCAGGCAGAGCAAAGGCTTCCAAGGGGACAGAGGAGACCCCAGAGTGAAGGTGAACCGGACACTGCCCTCCTGCCTCTTTGTGGGGCCTTCAGGGTTGAGGTGGGGTGGTCTGTGCGTTCTTACCTAGCGCGGCGGCCAACAGGCGGTGCACCAGGACATCAGGGAACCGGCGGATGGGGGAGGTGAAGTGGGTGTAGAGCGGCATGTTGAGGGCGTAGTGCCAGAACTGGGCTTGGTCCTGCAGCACTCCAGAGCAGAAATACAGCGCCATCTGGGGGCAGGATGGGTCTCAGGACCATGCGGCCTGGCAGGGCTGGCTTTGCCTGGTTGAGCTCTGAGTCCCAGGCAGGGACTGACCACAGGTGGGCCTCAGTGGCAGGGCCGCCCCTTGTAAGGGCTGCCAGGAGGCTAGGAAAAGCCAAGGGCTGCTCACATCCCTGAAACACTGTAAGGAGTCAACCCTGCCTCTGTTGAGGAGCCCCAAGATGCTGCTCAGGGTCAGGTGGCGGCCGTGGCCTTGCTCACTCCTGGGGAGAGGAGGCTGAGGCTAGCTGGGAAGGCACCCCGAGCCAGTCTGTCAGCCGCTGTGTCCGTGTGCCATGAAGCTGGCATAAATAGAAGGGTGTGACTCTGGTTTGGAGTCAGTGATTCTCCCCAGATGGATTCAGAGCCGCTACCCTGGAGCAGAGAGGGAGGATAGGACGCCTGGGGCCCTCTGGAACAGGGCTGAGAGGTCACTGGAGACTCAAATGGGCACTACAGGAAGGGAATGAGGACACCAAGTCCAACACCAGTGTTTGGCACGGTAGGCCCACGGCCCGCATGCTTGCCCTCTTGCCCCAGCTGGTCTGTGGTTGTAGCTGACTTGCTTCATCTGGCCCTGATTCCCGATACCTTATAGCGGCACTTCTCTGTGCCCCCAAGGGGTCTTCCAAGGAGGGCTTCCCAGCCTGCTACTTTCTGCCTTTCGTGTCCTGGACACCCTGATCTTCCCTGGGGCTAAGGCAGGAGGCCTGTGTGACTGGCTGGGTACAGGGGACACCGCATGCCTGGAGCCCTGGGGACCACTCAGCTTGAAGTGGGGCTGGGGCTCAGGGCAGCCAAGCAGAGAAAGAGAGTGTTGGGGTCTGTGGGAGCAGGCTCTCCACCCCAGAGTTGCTCTTCTTTTCGTGGCGTGCCTGCACCCTTACAACATCCAGATCTGTACACACCCGTACACCCACACGCTGACACCCTCACACCCATACAAACCCCTAAACCCGCACTCTGATACCTCACACACCCGTACAAACTCCCACACCCACACACGGACACGATCACCCACCCGCACACTGACAGCCTCTCATGCTCACACCCTTCTACCCACTGAGCCAAGTTGCCCCCGGCCAGCGGTTACTCAGCACGCACAGGGCTGGCGTCCAGGCGAGAGTGCTAGAAACCTGCTCAGCTTCCTGCCCTGCTGCCCTTCCACCTCCTGCTGGGTCCTGGGTTATGGCTGGGGCAAGTCACCGAGGGAGGCCCGGGAGGTGGGGAGAGGAAGGCAGAGGGCCCTGGCTCCTTTCCCAGCCTGTGGAGGGAGTGGTGGAGGCACCCCAAGACAGCCCAGTGTTCTGTTTCTGTAGTGGGGTCGGACTCAGGTGCTCCCCCTCGGGGCTTGGAGGACAGGCACCCCAGACTCCCAGCAGACAAGGCTCCTGCCCAGAGTGGGCCCCAATGATTCCGGTCTGCTGGAGTTATGAGGGTTCGGAAACATGAATCAGCTAAGATGAACAGAGTGAATCTCTCAAGTGAATGAGACCCCCACACTGGTCTGTAGCTGTGTCCTGGCAGGGTGGGGGCTCTGCTGGCCCCTCCTTACCTGCATGGGCCGAGAGCACATGTTGGTGAGCACCTCCTTGCGGGCCAGTGAGTACATGTCATTTCCAAACGTCTTGGTCAGACTTTCCTGAAAGCAGGAAACAGGCAATCTGCAGCAAGGCTCAGGAGCCCTGCCGCCCACTGACCACCAGACACTAAGCGTTGGGAGGACAGGTGTGCTGTGTCCCACCTGGGGTGGCTTGTTGAGTGAGCTTTCCACATCCAACCTGTGGTCTGCCCACACTCTGAATGGGCATGATAACAGTCCCTTTTCCGGGGGCTCAGACCCAGACCCTGGGTTCCTGGATTTCAGGAGGTTTAGCTCTACACAGGGAATACTTCAAGCCAACACTGCCTGGCTTCAAACAACCCCTGCTCCCTATGGAAAGCTATGGGGTCCACCTCTGGTCACAGGCCCGGGGCCACAGTTTGACACCCCCCTCCAGCCTGCCCCCACTGCCTGGCACTCACGTTGAGGGCCCCAGCGGAGCTGAAGTCCATGGGCAGCCCCATCTGGTTGCAGAATTCTACCAGGTCGTGGAGCATCCTTGTCTGGGGTGGGGGGTGCCGGCGCAGCAGAGCCCGCTCGGGGAAGGTGCGGTGAATCTTGTGGGCCACTGCTGTGTTGGCCAGGATCATCAGCTCTTCTATGAGCCTGCAGAGGGCAGACAGCAGGCTCAGTGGGCGGTACTGCCCATAGCAGGGGGGTCGGACAAAGTCAGGCTGCTCCTCCCTCTCGGCACAGAAAAGCCAGCACGTGGACCCCGAAGCCACGCGGGTCCCTACTCAGGTATGGGGTTACATCTCACCCCTAATCTGCCCCTGGACACCCTACTTCCTGTTGACAAACTCCGTTAACACAGACACCTTAACCCAGCCGCCCAATTTAATGGGAGATGAGCCTGTGCTGGCCATGGGAGCCTGAATAAATCACAATATATACCTGATTCTCACTCAAACGTGGCAGCGGCAAGAGTCATCTGCCTCACAGGGCCGCTGTGAGCAGCAAGGACTCAGACGAGGCAAATGCTGGCTGCACCTCACAGGAGACCCCACTCACATGGTTTAATTGCCTGCCACCTGCTCCACTGGCCAAGGCTTTCTGCAGGCCCAGGTTGGAGACCTTGGCCACCCCTCCTGGGCACGTACTGCCCACCTCCACACATGGCCCCCATAGGAGCTGCTGCTCTTGTCACCGGCCACCATCCGGCTGTCCTCACTCAATTTTTATCAACACACAAGGAGGCCCAGTTCTTATTCAACAGATGCCTGACTTGATTGATTGTCTGTTCTTGGTCAGGCATGCAGGTTGTTGTAGCCTGAATGTTCCAAAGCAGACAGTCATTCAATCTTCCGTTCATTCATCCAAATCTATGAAGTCATTCACTCCACAAACACTGCAGTACCAGGCACTGTCCTAGGCCTGTCTCCACCTTCCGCTTGCCCCGAGGCCAGGGACAGCCCAGCTTCAGGTGAGGAAGCACCTGCAACCTAGTGGCTGGACCTGAAGCTGCAGTTTGCAAGCATGGTCAGCAGGTGGCAGCATGGCCCCATAGTAGGGTGGCCGGGAGCCCCAGACCAGGAGCTAGCAAAGCAGCAGGGTGGGGTGTCCTCCTGCCCTCGCACCCCACTCCAGGTCAGAGGGCAGGGGGCTCTGCAGTGGAGCCCCATTCCTGCTTCTGGCCTTCGGTCTCACCTCACAGTCTCAGCAAGGATGAGAACAGGCCAGGGGCAGGGGTGAGTGTGAGCCCCCATACCAGCCGGATTCTCCCATCACTCCCGTGTCCTCTTTGGAACCCCAGCACAGTCCTGTGCGCCTGATTAGAGATGACGGGTTAACAAGTGGGGTTTCCTCGGTAACCTTGAAGGTAGTCTGGTCCAGATATGTTGGCTCCTCCCTCTGATGGGGTAGGAGTCACCAGAGTGGTCCAAGGGACATTCTCTAGGACACGTGGAGATTTCAGGCACAGTCCAGATAGGGAGACGGTCTGGCAGCAGGGTCAGGCATGTTAGGGTCCTAGGGGAAATGTGGGGGTCCTTTCTCTGAGGTTCTCTGCAAAGCAGCAGGTGGTTGAGGGAGCAGGCCTGGCCTGTTGTCACACCGTGCGCAGACGGGGTGGAGTCTCCAGTGCAGTGTGGGGACCAGCAAGAGCCGGTGATGGCATGTTACTGGGGGGCTGGATTCCCCTCAGAAAGGGGGCCATGCTGCCCTGCATCAGTAGGGTCACAGCTCCCCTCTGGTGCTATCAAAGGGACCCTGTTATGGGGCTCGACAGGGTCCAATTTCCAGGATGGGCCAGCAGGGGGCCCCCCAGCCTCTCTGTCTTTGGGACCTGGGACGTGGCAGGGACTCTTAGAACCCAGGCACCTCGAGCAAGAACCTGATAATTAGAAACTGGCCGGTGGCCCAATGTCTCCGGGGCTCTCAGGTATGGGTTTCTTTTGAGCCACAAGTTGGCTCTGGTGGGGGCTTCTCAGGGAGGGGTGGTGGGAGGGGGCAGGGCCTCCACCCAAGGCCTGGCATCTCCCACTGGGGCCTTTGCCTCTGGAGGTCTGGGAAGGTTCTGCTGTGACAGACAGCACCACAGCTAATGGGGAGCCGCTCACCTGGGTCCCCCTCCTCACATCCACTGGAACCCACCTGCCAGGCTGCAGGGGGAGGGACAGGGAAGGGCAGGTTCGGTGGAGCTGAGTGTGCCCAAGGGAACCGGAGTCCCTCACCTGCGTGGCGGAGTCACGTACTAACGGCACACCAACCTATACACACACATTACATTGCCACGTACAGTGAGGGCACGTGTACTCTACAACAGGCTCTGCCAAACGTGCCAGTAACCATACCCAAACCAAACCCACTGCAGAGGAGCCCGTTCCAACTCACAGCGACCCGACGGAGCTGAGGAGGGCTGTTGTATGGGTGTGAACCTACGGGAGCCTCATCTTTCTCACACCCACCTAACAGCCCAGCACTTAACCCACCGTGCCACCAGGGTCCTTAGTGTGTTAGCTGTTGTTGCTGTTAAGTGCCTGGGAGTCAGTTCCAACTCATAGCGACCCTCTATAGGGGTTTCTGAGGAGTGGTTGGTGGGTTTGAACTGTCCATCTTTTAGTTAGCAGTCCAGAGCTAATCCTACAGTGCTACACCAGCACTCCTGGCGTGGTACAAAGTGTTATTTTATTTTTTGTTAGAGGTCATTTCTTCATCTTCAAGATGCTAATGGACACCCTGACTCCACAAAGGGTGCTGCTGGGCGCAGCAGCTATTTGCTGCTGCTGCTGCCTGTTTGGATCAAATCTTACAGATGGTGAGCATGCAGAAAGGGGGGAAATTAGAGTCTACTGAGAGGTGCTGCAGCAGGTAGGTCTGGCAATCTAATTCTGCAGACTCAGCCACTGAAACCCTACGGAGCACAGTTCTACTCCGACACACAAGTAGAATCAGCCGGATTTTTAAGATACAATGGAAAACTAAGGTTCAAAAGGATCACCCAGTGGCCCCAAGTCCCACCTCATGAAGCAGCAGCTGGGGTTTGCAGACAAGCCTGCGAACAGGCCACCCGACTCCGCCACTGCCCTCCAGGTGGCAAAGTCACGTCCACAAACAAGGTCAATGCAGAGCGATGGGAAGGCAAGAGCACGATACAGGAAGGAGATGAAAGAGCAAAGGCGTAGAAGACAAAGAAAAAGTATCAGGCCCACCTGAAGAAGAAGGTGTCCTTGGAGGCTGTCCTCGGAGGAGAGGAGGCAAGGCGGGGTGTGGGAGCCTAGCTTTGAATTACACCTGGGGAGCTGGTGAAGGGATGAGGGGCGCAGTTAGGGGCCGTGCTGACAAGGAGTAGGGGATGCTGGCAAGTTTGATAAGCCCTGCTCCCCGCCAGTTTCAGATTCATTCCTTCTGAAGCCAAAGTAGTCCGTGCTTGGGCAGGTCCCCACCGCAGGCCTCAGTGCTGTGGGATGGCTGCTGGGCCTCTCACTGAGTTCATTCCAGAGCGAGGCCCTTCTCCACAACAGAACGACACATGGGCATGAGCAACGGCCACCTCTTGGACCCTGCTGCTCCCTGCCCAGCCCACCCACTGATTCATAGCAACCTTACAGGTCCTAGCAGAACTGCCCCACGGAGCTTGTGAAGCTGTAAATCTTTCCCGAAGCAGACTGCCACAGCTTTCTCCCTTGAAGCGGCTGGTGGGTTTGAACTGCTGACCTTTTGGTTAGCAGCCCAGTGCTTCACCCACTGTGCCACCAGGGCTTTTATCCTGGGCCCAGAGTGGGGGTAAAACCCAGTCCAATCCACCCCACCCCAGTGCACTGCCTTTGAGTTGATTCTGATACAAAGTGACCCTACAGGGCAGAGCAGAACTGTCCCAACAGGTTCCCGAGGCTGTCAATCTGTCCCGAAGCAGTCAGCTACAGCTGTCTCCCTTGGAGTGGCTGGTGGGTTTGAACTCTCGCTCTTTAAGTAAGCAGTTCAGTGCTTTAACCATGGCACGACCAGGGCTCACTACAGCGGGTGCCGTGTGGAGAACTGTGAGGCCCAGAGCTGGGATTTGCTGAAATGAGGCTGTGGGTGGGCCCAGAGCTGCTGTTTGGCAGTTTTCTCGCCCTGGCTGGGGCAGTAGCCTGAGAGCGGGAAATGCCAGGGTGAGGGGATGATGTGGCTGACTGGTCAGGGTGCCCACCCACCCACCCAAATGGAGCCCAAGTCCTCCGGGCACCAGAGGCCACCCCTCAGTCACTGTGTGGCCCTGTCGCTGACCCTCTCTTCCTGGGCTCGCAGCAACCTGCTGAACACTGTGGGCCTGCCCAGGAACCACAGGGGAATGCACGGGGCCTCGTTCACCAGCCTGGAAAACCCCAGAGGCCCAGGCCTGGGAGCCAGACATAACAGGCCTTGCGGGCACGGCCGGAGCCAGCTTTCCACTCCGGGGCCTTCCTATAGGTTCCATGGGTGGGGCCCAGCTGCGGAGGCACGTTCAGCCCCTTGTTTTTCTAGCTCGAGAGGAAGTCTCCAGGGGCCAGGTATCCGGAATCCAAGGCCTGCTGGCAGCGGTAGGGAGCCGGTAGACAGTCAGAAAGGTCTTTGTCAACATAAAGCTATCTGGGCAGCCATACCTGCAGGCGAGGGGCAGAGGGCAGTGGCCTGGCCTAGAATCTCTAAGCAGGACCAAGTGGTACCCAGGCTGCCCTGCAGAGCTGGCCCCTTGGTGGAATTCACAAGATGTCATCTCCACTCCCATGCCCCCTGCTGTCGACTGCTGGGGACCTGCGGATCATAGGTGGTGTGACCAGGGGATAACAGGGACCGGCCACTCCAAGGGTTCTGCTGTGACCCCTAGGCTGGCCCTTCAGGCTGAAACCCAAGAGCGTGGGTGTGACAGGGCCTGGGCTGGCACTGACGTTAAAGTCAGGGTGTTTGGGAGGCAGGGTGCCCCCTCATCCTCCTACAGCTGTGTGGGGAGAGGGCCGAGGCAGGCAGGCACTGTGTAACCTTAGGTCCCACCACCCTTAGAGTCACAAGAACAGGCTCAGAGCAAGGGCGCCAGACCCCATCCCATACTTTATCCCAGGCTGTCCTGGGGCTTTCTTGGGGAGCTTCCTCAGGACAGGCTGGAGGCCCCTTGCCCTCTTGGCCATGTTGCTGAGGACTCTGTCCAC